GAAGAAAGAAAGAAAGAAAGAAAGAAAGAAAGAGAAAGAAAGAAAGAAAGAAAGAAAGAAAGAAAGAAAAAATTAAAGAAAGAAAAAAATGAAAGAAAAAACAAAAGAAAGATTAGAAGGGTGTGATGGCACACACCTATAATCCCAGGCCTTGGGAGCTAAAGGCAGGAGGATTGGAAGTTCAAGGCCACCCTCAGCTACAAAGTGTGTGTGTGTGTGTGTGTGTGTGTGTGTGTGTGTGTGTACGTGTGGAGACAGGGATTCCATGAGCCAAAGGACCCAGAGCTGTGGCCACATGGCAGAGTCACTGAGAGCCCTTTAAAGGGCAGATCCAGAAAGCATACAACTTTTGTCCTTTCAGAGGTGCATCTAGTGAGGCTTCCTAGAAGAAGGACAAATTCTGAGTCAGTTCACACTCGGATTTCTGTGCTTGTTGGCTAGGTGGGCGGCAGTGTGCAGGGAAACGTGTTCCAGTTCAGGCTGTTGCTGGAACAGAGCAAGAATGGGGACTGCCTTCACAGGAGGTCAGGAAGTTTCCAGCCCCTCGATGGCTTTCCTAGATGCACGCTGACCAGTGGTGTTGTCAACTTCTTCCTGGCTCACACAGACCGACTCCAAAGAGTTGGCTTCGACCCCCGCCTTCAACGAGTGGCTCACTCAGGTGGGAGGCTTGAGGGGTGATGCAGGGAGTGGGGTGGGAGTCTGCCTGGAAGCCTCTTCTTGCCACACCAGCGGGGAGCTCATGGTTCCTCTTGCCACCCTCTTGACCTCTTTTCCACTTCTGTGTCTCCCCTAGGCTGTCTGCCTAGCTGAGCACACCCTTCTTTCTTTCCCTACCACTTTGTCCTCTCCTTTCCCAACCCTGCTCCATCCATACTCTTCTATCAGAACATCTTTTCCACTTAAACTACAACTGGTGGCTTCCCTGGCCCTTGCCCCTTTCCTTTCTTCCACTCTAATGCCCATAGTTTCATTTAGTGGACACCTGATGGTGTCTCTGCTCACAAACGAGCTTGTCTATTTCCTTCCAGCTCAAGGACAGAGTCCTAGCCAAGGGTGTGACTTCGCATGGGGCTGGACCTCTCTGTGGGTACCACCAGCTTCTCTCCTCATGGAGTACAGGGAGAGGGAAAGCCTGGCTGACTTACTGCAGCTCCCCTTTTCTCCTGCTCACTTTCTTTGCAGAGTTCTTTATTGATGGTCTGGGGACACTGCTGGTGGGCTCATGCCCAGAGGTGATTGTCGGTCATCAGCCACGTAAACCAGTGGTGGACCCAGAGCTAGGTGCCCTGGAGAAGGCTTATAGTACATACCGGGCCAACACCAATGCTCAGATCCAGTTCAAGCTGGCTCTCTTGTACTTCAAGAACCATCTCCAGTGCTCCACATAAAGGTGTAGGACACAGCACATGTGCTAAAAAGACTGGCTGTGGGCATCTACAACAGTGGGATTGGCTATTAGAACTACCAAAAATGGACTCCTATCAAGAGGATTGTGGACCAAACTTGCTGGTAGCCAGAGCAGGTAGATAGCTCAGTCGCTGCAACCATCAGTCAAAGACATTAGAAACCAACAAACCACTGATTAGGGCAGTGGGGACAATGTTTATAACAACTATCATGCATTTGATTCCCTCCCATTCATAAACCATCTGCACACAGCAACTCATTTCATCTCATCTGCTCTCCTGCTAAAGATGTCAATTGATTGATATATTCATGTAGAGAATGATTGCTGGGAGCCTTCAAGATGACTCACTCACCACCAAACCTGACAAACCTGAGCTCGATCCTTGGGATCCCCATGATGGAAGAGAATCAACTCTTGCATAATTGTCCTCTGAACTGTACATGCATGCTGTGGTGCGCGCGCACACACACACACACACACACACACACACACACACACACTAAATAAATGTAAATAATAAAAGGGAAAAAGAATGACTGCTGAGAACATGAAGATGAAATTATGTGATCAGAATAAATAGAAAAATTAATAAATGTAAAAAAAGGATTTTCGGAGAGAAGACACGTGTAACCTTTATTATAGTATACTTTTATCATCGCTGTCCTTTAGTATTGGCTATTGTTAATCCCTTTCTGAGTTATACTTACAGGTTAAACTTGGATATGCACATAGGGAAAACACAGCCTCAGTATAGGATTTGATACGAGCCATAGTTTCAGGGTCCACTGGAAGTCTTGGAATGCATCATCCTTGAAAGTGTGAACTCCAATGGTCACAGACCTTACCCCAAGAACAGAGAGTGCTGCTTCCAGGTAGAGGTCAGCAAAGTTTTCTGTAAAGAGCCAGACAGCAGCTGGCTGTGGTGACACAGGCCTTTGATTCCAGCACTAGGATGACACAGGCAAGTGAATCTCTGTGAATTTGAGGTCAGCTTGAAATATATAGAAAGTTCCAGGCTAGCCAGGGATACATAGTGAGACCTTGTTTAAAAAATAACTGGGGCTGGAGAGATGGCTCAGCGGTTTAGAGTATTGGCTCTTTCTATAGAGGACTTGGGTTTGAATCTCAGCACCCACATGGTGGCTAACAACTGTCCCTAACTTCAGTTCCAGGGGATCCAAATGCCCTCTTCTGGCCTCTGAAGGCATTGTACGACATGGATGCACTTGTATACATCCAGGCATAACACTCATACACATAAAATAAAAACAAAATTTAAAAATCCTAAAATTTAAAAATATTTTAGGCTTTGTGGATCACTGGAGGTTTCTGTCTCATCTTTGTAAAAATAACTCCGTTTTCTTTCTTTTTTCTTTCTTTCTTCTTCTTCTTCTTCTTCTTTTTTTTTCTTTTTTTTTGAGACAGGGTCTCCCTGAAGCCCCAGCTGTCCTGGAACTCACTATGTAGACCAGGCTGGCCTCGAACTGCCAGAGATTCACCTGTCTCCCAAGTGCTGGGATTAAAGGCATGCACCACCACACCTGGCAAAATATAACTCTTTAAAACTATAAATTAATTAAGCTGGCATGGTGGCACACTCCTTTAATCCCAGCATTTGGGAGGCAAGTGGATCTCTGTGAGTTTGAGGCCAACCTGATCTACATAAGGAGTTCTAGGCCAGCTGGGGCTACAAGGAAACCCTGTCTCAAAAAGGAAAAAAAAAAAGCAAGGTGTGATGACTCATGTATGCAATCCCAACACTCAGGATGCTGGACCAGGAGTTGTCACAAATCTGAGGTCAGCGTGGGCTACATGCAGTATGTGACCCTTTAAGAAAAACCCTGGCATGATGGCATATACCTTTAATCTCAGCTCTTGAGAAGCAGAAACAGACAGATCTATGAGTTTGAGGCTAACCTAGAGCACATAGTGAGACCTTGTCTCAAAACAAGAGGTTTTTGTTTTGCATCTCAGTGGTTAAGAGCATTTGCTGCTCTCTCAGAGGATCTAAGTTCAGTTCCCAGCATTCACATCAGAGGGTGGTCTCACAACTGCCTTACTCCAGCTCCAAGGGATCTGGTATTCTTTTCTGGCCTCCCAGGGTACCTGCACTCACATGCACACACCCCAACAGACATATATACACATAATTAAAATAATATTTAAAACGAAAACAACTTCCTTCAAAAAAACCATAAAAATAAAAATGTGCTGGAGAGATGACTCTGAAGCTAAAGTACTTACTATGCAGACGTAGGACCCCAGCAGCCATATAAAAAGCCAGATGTGGCAAACAGTGTCACCCCAGTGCAGGGGACAGGCACAGGTGGATCCCTGGGACTTGCTGGCCAGCAAGACCACTAGAAACAGTGAGTTTCAGCTTCAGTGAAGAGATCGTGCTTCAGTAAAGAAGGTAGAATGTGATTAAGGAAGACACCCTGAAGTCGACCTCTGGCTTCCAAACATACACACACACGTGCACACCACACACCAAACAGCATCTCGTTGGTCCCCATCCCTTATTTTTAATAGTTTTCTCTCTCTTTGTGAGACAGAATCTCAGGTAGTTCGGGCTGGCCTTGAACTTGCTTGGTAGCCAAGGCTGGCCTAGAACTCTTGATCCTCTTGGATCTGCCTCCCAAGTGCTGATATTGCAGGCATACACCACCACACCTGGCTTTTTTTTCCCCCCATTGGTTTATTGAGACAGGGTCTCACTATATAGCCCTGGCTGGCCTAGAGCTCATTTATTGAAACCAGGATGACCTCAGACTCACAGAGATCTATCTGCCTGCCTCTGCCTGCCAAGTGCTGGGATTAAAGGTGTACACCACCATGGCCAGCCTGACTTTTAATTTAGTTTTATTTATTCATTATTATTGTGTGAGGACATGCATGCCACGGTGCACATCTCTGTGAAGTGGAATCTCCTTCTACCTTTATACGGGTTGTGGGATCAAACTCAGATCACTAGACTAGCATTGCCAGTCAGTTTTTGAGACAGGGTCTCCCTGTAGCTTCAGCTGGCCTGGAACTTGCTATGTAGACTAGGTTGGCCTTGAACTCACAGATATCCACCTGCCTCTGCCTCCCAAGTGTTGGGACTAAAGGTGTGTGCTACTACAACTGGCTTTTGAATCCCTTAATTTTGAAATATTTTATTTAGCATTTTTATTTTACGTGTATGAATGTATTGCCTGTATGTATGTAAGTACATCTGTGTCATGCAGTGCCCATGGAGGTCAGAAGAGGGTGTCAGATCCCCTGGAACTGGGGTTAAGGACAGTTATTAGCTGCCATGTTGGTGCTGGGAATCAAACCTAGGTCCTCTGCAAGAGCAGCCAGTACTCTTAACCACTGAGCCATCTCTCCAGCTCAATTTCTTACGGTTTATTTTATTTTTAATTATGTGTATGTGTGTGTGTGTGTCTCCGTGTGGTTATGGACATGTGAGTGTGGGTGTCTGTGGAGGCCAGAGGCATCAAATTCTCCCGGAGCTGAAGCTACAAGTTATAGGCACTTGTGAGCCACCCTACATGGGTTGTGGGAATTGAAGTCAGGTCTTCTGCAAGAGCAGTATGCACTATTACCAATGAGCCATCTCTCCAGCTCCTGGTCTTTTCCCTCACAGTGTAAATTTTTTAAAATTATTTATTTAATAACCATATAATTAGAAGAAGCATTTCATTACAACAGCATTGACATATTCAACAACAATTTCCAGAGCTAAGATGCATCGCTTTCAAAATTGGCTGTAAATTTTTTAGCCAATGTAAATTTTTCTGAATTTTTGTGGATTTCATACAGGATATCTTAATCATATTTAGATCCCCTCCCCTATCTGCACCCCCCATAGTGCACCCCCCTGATTTCATGAATTCTGTCATATATGTTAAGGCTTTAGGTCAAGTTTGTGTTCCCAGATGTCCCTCATCCACTGGAGCCTGTTCAGTCTGTCTAGTGTCACTTCCTTAAAGAAGATTAACTCTCTTTCAGCAGTAATCAGCTACCAGTAGTACCCAGCTAAAGTTGACCCTGTCAAAAACAAACAAAACAAAGCAAAACATCAAGAGTGCCTTACAGGTTGGGCAATTTCCCAAGACCACCCTCCCTTCCACCCTACCTCTTCTCAAACCTACATCTGAAGAGCTCTTTTTTTTTTGAGACAAGGTTTCCCTGTAGCCACAGCTGGCTAAGCTAGGGCCTGGATCTCACAGTGATCCACCTGCCTCTGTCTCTGCCTCCCAAGTGCTGGAATTAAAAGGGTACGCTACCACGCCCAGCTCACAGATCGCTTTTGAATCAGTCTCTCACCTGGATGTTCCAGCCGCTTATTCCTCAGCCTTCCTGCTCCAACTTCAAACAAGTCTTTCATATAAATTCACTTATCTCATCTTCAAAGACTTATTTATTTTACATGTGTATGTGTGAGTGCCTGCACGCATACATGTACACCATATGTGTGCCTGGTGCCCACAGAGGCCAGAAGAAGGCATTGGATCCCCTGAATCTGGAATTACTGACTGTTAGCACCCACAACTGAATCCAAGTCCTTTGCAAGAGTAGCCAGTGCTCGTAACCAATATTTGCTCATCTTTAAATTTTACCATCATGGAAATTTTCATGATGGATTTGAGTAATCTGTGTCATTGTATATGTGTCCCCCATTCCACTGTGTGTGGAGAGATCCTAGCTCTTAATATACAGTTTCTGGATGGCTTTTCCATGCTCTCTACATTTCCATAATAAATATTAACCTTCATATTCTAAAAAGTCAACATGGAGTCATTGAGATGGCTTAGCAGGTACTTACCAGCGGTAAGGTACTTGCCACTGAGCTTGACAACCAAGGCTGATGACCTGAGTTCGATCTTTGGGACCACATGGTGAAAGGAGAGAACTTACTCCAATTGTCCTCTGACCTTCACATATGCAGTGGCACATACAGACCCATATACACACAAAATAGATTAATGTAATTTAACAATGTAAAGGTAACAGTTATTTTAAAAGAAAGTAAAAGCATTCAAGAAAAAAATAAAATCAGGCATAGTGGCACATGTCTTTAATCCCAGCACTTGGGAGGCAGAGGCAGGCGGATCTAGGCCAGATTGGTCTTTAGAGCAAGTTCTAGCTGGGCGGGGCTCCAGGGAGACATTGTCTGGAAAACAAACAAAAAAACCAGAAATCAAAAAAAAAAAGTGTGGGGGGTGGGGAGAAAGAAGGAAAATAACATTAAATGCAGATGTTCATAAAAATTAAGCAACCACTTTTTGCCATCAGAGTCATGGAATGCCAGACGCAGAGTAAAGGCCTAGGCAATAGGGGTTGGGTGAGGCAGGCCTGGAGGTTCAGGGCATCCCTTATGACTTGGCATGGAGGAATGTTGACTTGTCTGGCTTAGCCCAATCTTCAAGGCAAAGAAGGGGATTTGTCTCATGTGCCACTTAACCCATGTGGTGAGGACACAGAGCAGGACAGACTAAATCCATCCCAGCTGTCAGCAGCCTGAGACTGGACAAGAACTGACCAAACATGACTGAAACCGCGATATTGAATATGAACACCTTTGATTTTAACTACTCAAAACAATATTACGAAGTGTGATGCTAAAGGCCTCTCAGCATAAAACTGGATCATCCCTTCTTTGGGGTGCTCCTATGCCCCTAACAAGTGGTTCAGTGTTTGGTAAGTCACTAGCCGCATTCAGAACCTGCCCCCTGAGAACTTCCAGCCACATCAACCAGTGTGGGAGGATGAGCAGGAGAAACAGAGTCCCACTTTTCATAGTCAACTATAATTTAGGCAAAGAACAAGAAGGGAAGCAAACCTTTAATGCCACATGAGGAATGCGCGATAGAAGCTTTCGGTGGGGGTGTCAGTTGTGTCAGGTGAGCTGGGAAGAGTTTTAAGCTAAGAACAAAGGAGGAATGCAAAGGGAAAACCAGGGAATGGAGAAGTGGGAATAGAAGGGTGGAGTTATAGTCACCCTCATAAACACAGAGGAAGTGACTGCAGTTCATTGCCAGGATAGAATCTTGACTGTTCAGGAGGGCTACAGCAGCTCTTGGGAAGTTATGCCAGGCTGGGCATAGTGGCACATGCCTTTAATCCCAGTACTCTGAAGGTAGAGGCAGGCTGTGAGTTCCAGGCCAGCCTGGTCTATGTAGCACAGAACTTTTGTGAAAGGGAACTAAGGAAAAGTTGAGGCCCATAGATGCCTGGCATTGTCACTCTTACTGGGAGCTTAAGGTGGGGTTGTTTTTTTTTTCTCAAAATGGAAAATCTTTAGTGTTTCTTCTGACAGTATGCAAAAGTTATAAAAATAATTCAAGGGGCCGGGCATGGTGGCGCACACCTTAAATCCCAGTACTTGGGAGGCAGAGGCAGGGGGATCTTTGTGAGTTCGAGGCCAGCCTGGTCTACGTAGTGAGTTCCAGGACAGCTGGGGTTTAAAGGAGATCCTGTCTCAAAAAGCCCCAAAAATAAATTAAATAAATAAATAAATAAATAAATAAATAAATAAATAAATATCACTGATAAACTCTTCTGCTTTCAAATTTCAAGTCCCAGCACCACATGACAGCTAACAACTGCTGGTAACTCCAGTCCCAGGGGATCTGACAGCTCTTCTGACCTCCGAGGGCATTGCATGACATGGGTGCACTTACATACATGCAGGCAATACACGCATAAAAATAATAAATAAAATTAAAAAAATAATTTAAGCAAAACTGAAAAATAGAAAGGTCCCTATATATTCACTTCCCAGGGATGACTGTCACCAACAGTTTTCAGATTTGTGCTAAGTAGGTTCTTGACTACATGCAGAGGTAAAGCACTTGGTACATTATATCTAAGAGGGACTCACCAGGATATCAGATCGCTCACAGCACTAAAAGGAGGCAAATGGACACAAACCCAGGGGACTGGGGCAGGGAGGAACACAGCCAAGGGCAGTTTGGTTGGTATGTCACTTGCTACCATTGGGCATGGCATGGCTGCCCCACTGCCCTGAGCAGTGTCACAGACATCACTGGAATCTGAACAAGGTCTAAAATGCTCCTGTTTCTGGGTGTCAGTCTCTGGTTTCTACCTCCACTGACCAAGCTAAGGACACCGTTTTCCACTCTGGCTGTTCCAAGAGAGTTGCCTTGGGGCACGGTCCTCCTGTCAGACTGGTACAGTGTTGGATTCCCTCAGGAAAGTGAGTCTTGTCACACTAATAAATAAATGGCACAGTATGGCTTTTCTTGTATGTGAGTGGTCTTTTATTATGCATATGACTTGGGGACGTTGAGTTTTGTTTTTGTTTGGTTTGTGTCTTAAATCTCAATACAATAACTTATTTTCTAAATTCTTGCCTAGCATTTACGGAATAGCCATGACTTATTTTGTCAATTTTCACTCTATTAAATTAAACAGTATAGTTGAGAACCTCTTTGAATATGTACCCTGGCACAGATACACGTCCAATAAGAGTCCCAGTGGTGAAACTAAGTCAAACAGCGTGTTAACTTTTTCCATGGCTTGACTTACCAGCAGAAACACATTTACACACCGTGAGTGAAATACAGGAAACAGTGCGGAGAAGCGTCTTTTCTTAAAAAAAAGCGATCTGATTGGATCCTTTTAAAGATCTGATTGCCAGGAAGTTTCAGCAATACCAACTGGCTTTGGAAGCGCACGCGGAAGTGGCGAACTGTAAGAGAAAGCCCCTTGAGTGGCGGAGCAGCCAAGTGGCGCGCACTCGGCTCCGCTGTGCGCATCCCAGGTGCGTTCGGGGTTTGAAAGGCTGTCCCACCACGTGCCTGGCAGGAGCAAACTCAGCACAGGGGTTCTAATATAAACAAGTAGGAAGCCCAGGCCGCATGTGCACACCTTTCTGTCCCGAGCCCCGGGCTGGACTCCATCCGACCCAACTTCGTGGGCCCCGCCAACCGGGCTCCCCTCGGACTTCTGGGGTGAGAACCCGGACCCCTAGAGGAGCACCGGAAGAGCATCGGGAAGAGGTTACACCCGGAGCCACAGAACATTCGGAACGCTAGGGGCACGGGAACCTGTGTAGGCCTGGGTGTGCTGTGCCTAAGGCGGGCAGCCGAAGTACAGTGGAGCAAGCAGACATGCAACAAAGCTTTGGAAAGGTTGCACACCCTCATGCGGCTTGAGAAGCCTCCCGGTCTCCTAAAGCCGCCAGCAGGTCCCATGGTGTAATGGTTAGCACTCTGGACTTTGAATCCAGCGATCCGAGTTCAAATCTCGGTGGGACCTCACGGAACCTTTTTGGCCTTAGAATCCCTGTTTTGGGGCCTGTCTACAGTTGCATCCAACCTGCGGCTGCGCCAGGCACCCGCTAACCTGCAGGACCGTAGTTTGGCCTCCCCTCCCGCCGCTGTCCACACGCTTACATTCAGGGACAACCTGGGCTTCGGTAGCAATGCGCAGGCGCGAGAGTCGGGCAGAAAAATAAACCGGGCGAAGGGAGTCCGAGCACGACTTTACCCCGAGGGAAGCTCACGGAAGGACCCGAAGGATCCCGAGGCTGCAGCTCCGGGCGGGGCACAGCTGCGACACCGCGCTTAGGAGGCCACGCCCATTCCTGGTTCCTTCTATGATTGGCTACTGCTCAGAACGCGCTGCTTGATTGCTCTGTGAACCGCGAATGAAGTGGCCAGGGGCGGGGAAGGGGCGCCTGTGAATGTCTGATTGGTCAGAGCCGGGGATTCAGGAGGCTGTGTGTTGGGGGTCAGTGGCCCCAGTGTGTTGTTGTGGGTTGAGCGGTGCTTGTCCAGTCTATCAGTTAGAAAAGAGTCCCAAGTCAAGGTTTCCACCCTCGGCAGGTCAGGGCATCTCTGCTGGCCTTTCTCAGCTTCACGGTGGTCCGTGAGTTTGTTCCGAGCGGAGGACAGGACTGTAAAAAGGAGGGGGGGGGGGCTGGCGTTCCCAGCGGGGTCTGGCGCGTGCGCGCACGACCTGCGGGGAAAAGGGCGCACCTTTGGGATCAAGAGGAAGGTAAGTGCAGGAAGTGTTGCCTTCTGTGGGTTCGTATCTGGGTTTTGAGAAGTGACTGTCCCTGTAGGGTAAGTGACGAGGGAGCCTGCTGACGCATTTACGTTCTCCCTACAGAGTGATTGGCACTGTGGCCATAGGCTCCAAGTCCTTGGGAGGATGCCATGGAAACAGAAGGGAGCTTCACTCCACTCTACCTCCTCTGAGCGCAGCTCTTCTCGGCGGGACCCACGCCCTCATTAAACACTTGAATGGATCAGTGTGTATGAGCCATCCCAGTCTCAAAAATACGCATGAGAGATGGGAAATCTGGCTCTACCAGGAGTAAAGCTTCTTATCGACTGTACGAAGAAGGAATCAAGATAGTGCCAGGATAGAAAGAAAATGCTTGGTGGAAAGATACAGCCCGGTCTCCATGGACGGTTGAGTTATAACAAAGGTGGCAGGCTCCACAAAGCATTAGGGGAAAGGACTCGCTTTCTGTAGGCTATTCTGGGGCAGTTGTGTCCACACGGAAAAATATGAACTCGGATTTTTCTCTAATTAGCACTAAGCACAGCAGTAAATCCCATGTGAATTATTGACCTGAAGTTGAAGGAAAGCAGTAAAGCTTTGGATGACAACACAGGGGACTATATGTGTCAGGTTAAACAATGTCTTAGTAAAAGGCACCATAGTAAGAAAAACGAAAAGGTAAGCCACAGAATAGAAAACGCATACCTGACAAGTAAATCTAGATTGTACTAAAATAAATCCTAAAAACCTGTAAGAAAACTGAGGGCTAGAGAGATGGCTCTTGCAGAGCACCCAGGTTTGGTTCCCAGCACACCGTGTCAGCTTACAACTGGCTGTAACTCCTGTCTGATATCTTGTTCTGGCCTTGCATGTAGTGCACATACATACATGGAGGGAAAACACTCATACAAATAAAAAAATCTTCAACATGAGGACCTGAGTTCCATCACCAGAACTCCAGAATCAATGTTAAAAAGCTGGAACTCCACTGGCTTCCATGTTCCATGTTCCAGTGGCACATGCCTTTAATCCCAGCACTTGGGAGGCAGAGGTAGGTAGACCTCTGTGAATTTAAGGCCAGCCTGGTTTACATAGTGAGTTCCAGGCCAGTTGGGGATACAGGGAGACCCTCCCTATCTCAGAAAGACAAAATATATAATTAAATTTTTAAAAAATTACTTTAAGGCCTATAATAATTTGGTCAGAGGGACATAAAGGACACTTTTTGCTCCTTGCCCTCCTAGGTTGACTAGTTCCGGGGGACTATGAGCATCTCTCAAAATGTCCTTTAATGGTGGTAGGTCACCTGTCCTCTTGATCAAGGAGACCCCACCAGATGGACTTGAACCAGTGTCCAGTTTACAAAGAGGAGGATCAACACAGAGGAATCATTTCCTCCATGCTTCCAAGCAAAGCCAACCATGGTCGAGTAGGATCTTTGACTTATCTTTATATAGGCGGAACTGGTAAAAGAAAGGAGCCAGGGGCTCCTCCCAAGCCCATGTGACCCCTGAGGAATATCCTCAAACGACCTTAAGAGTAAAAATAAATTGGTTTATCCGGACCAATTGTATGGCCTTAAACACCCAAAAGGAAAGTATAACCAAAGATTAAAGGGGCCAATATAATTTCTTAAGAGTCCATAGTCCAAGTTGCCCTCCTAGTTCCACATTATGTGTTGATGTTGATTTTTTTTTTTTTAATTCCTGGCACTGAAAGGAAAAAAAATTTAAGTCCCCAAACAAAAACAGATAAATATTGAGCAAAATGAAGCAGCAATAAAAGAAAATTTAAATATCTAAGTTTCTGTTTTATAAAGTTACTAAATAGACAAAACTATTGTGTATCATAGCTGCAAACTTGGAAAAATGACCAAACAAAGAAGGGAATAATTACTACTAGTAAGAAAAAATATTAAGTGAGACATGCTAATGCATAGTAAGAAAAACTTTATTCAGGGTGATCAAGGTGGGTGTAGGGACCATCTCAAGGAGGTCTTAAAGAGGGGAAGAGAGATTGGATTGGACCCCGAGTATAGCACTGACTGGTAGAGAACCAGAAGTCCTCTGAAACTGCTGCTGATCGTAGCTGCCTCTGAGGCTGCTACTAACCTTACTGATAAATTACACCAGGATTGGCTACTCCTGGAACTCAGGGGGAACTGTTGGATCCAGGCTGTGGCTCAAGATAGCCTGTCCTGCTTGAGCAAGGGGCCCTGCAGCTGCATCTGTTTCCTCATGCCCTAGCCCCTACATGATCTCTAACTCTTCCGATTCACAATACAGCTGTTTCCATCACGCAGGAAGGCTGCTGTCCCTCGCTGCACCCTTTGAATAAACACAGTCCTGTCTGAGGTCTGGTATCATCTCTTTCTTTCTCTCCTAGTCCTGAATTCTGTGCCCCCAAACCTAACACAGACCGTGGGAGTTCATAGCCAAGGGGCATGACAGGGCTGTCAGCTGGATGACCACAAAGAGGAAAGACCAAGAGTTAAGGGAACCCAGGCTAGATTGTCCTAACAGGACAGGCCGGGGTGATCAGACCCTAGAAGATGGTGAAGGATGAGAGTGACCAGATACTGAGAGTAAAGCTTATAAAACTGACTTAGCCGGAGTCTTTGTTAAAACTCTTTTTTGAGACAAGGTCTGACTCTGTAACCCAAACTCATGGCTAGCCACCTGTCTCAGCCTCCCAAGTGCTAGGGTTACAGACAAGAGCCACCACATCTGTCTCTAAAACTCGTGTGTGTGTGTGTGTGTGTGTGTGTGTGTGTGTGTGTGTGGTATTTGTTCCTTGGGAGGCGCAAAGTGTGGCTATAGGTTGACTTTGAGTGCCTTTTGAGATTGATTTTCTGGTTTTTATTTTGTTTTTGAGACAGGGTTTCACTATGTACCCCTGGCTTACCTAGAACTCACTATGTAGACCAGGCTGACCTGGAACTCACAGAAATCCACTTGCTTCTGCCTCCCAAGTGCTGAGACTAAAGGCAGGTGCCACTATGCTCAGCTCTTCTGGCTTATTTTTGAGGCAGGGTCTCTCATTGAACCTGGAGCTTATGGATACAGCTGGGCTGGCTGGCCAGTGAGCTTCAGGATCTGTCATCTATCCAGCACTGGGATTACAAATGCACACTGCCATGGACAGCTTTGTGGGGTGTGTGTGTTGCATGCCCATGAGTGTGCTGTACATACACCCATGCACATACTTATGTACATGCATGAAGAGGATGACAGGTGTCTTCCTCCATCACTGTCTGCCTTTCCCTTGAGAACAGGGTCTTTTCCCCCAATCCTGAGTTACAGGTACATGAAACTATGCCCAACTTTTTACATTGGTGTTGGGGATTTGAACTCAGGTCCGCATGCTTGCAATAGCAAGCACTCTTACACACCGAGCCATCTCCCCAGGCTCCCAGCCATGCCTAGCTTTTGTGTAGGTGTTGGGGATCTGAACCCAGGTCCTCATGCTTCAGCAGCAAGCACTTTATCCATTGAGCCATCTCCCCAGCCCCTAAAACTGGATCTTAGAAGAAAGTACACAGTGAGCTTAAAAGAAGTTTCAAAAGCAAGACCAAAGTTTGGCCAGGTAAAGAATCTGTGTGGTCATTTGAATCAGATCGCTAGGTATCTCTGGGGCAGGGAGGGACCATGACTGGATAGGGTCAGCAGCAACTTCTGTGGGTATTGGTTCTACTCTATTTCTGGTTTTCAGTGAAGGTTACATAGATGTATACAAAAATGTGTTAAAAAAATTGATGTCTGGTGGCAGCCATCAGGTAAGCCTAGATGGGTGCGTGCAAGTGCATCCAGGAGCTGTGGAGGAAGAAGCAGACAGGTATGATGCACTTGTTTTTTGGGGGGGGTCTTTTTGAGACAGGATCTCCCTGTAGCCCCAGCTGACCTGGAATTAGCTATGTAGACCAGATTGGCCTTGGACTCACAGAGATCTACCTGCCTCTGCCTCCCGAGTGCTGGGACTAAAGGTATGCACCACCATGCCAGGCTGCACTGTCTTCTGAGGGTCTGTGGCTGACAGTACCAACAGCTCTCTGTGACACACAATGGTCCTAGCCAGCCAGATAAAGCACTGAAGGCCAAGAAAGGTATGTCCTCTGTGGTGGCCAAAACCACCCTGTTCCTAAAGGGTAAAACTTATGTTCATTGTGGTGTTAACTGGCTGAAGTTTGCCTGGAGCCTTCAGTCTGTTGCTGAGGTCAGAGCTGGAAGCCACTGTGGGGCTTTGAGAGTCCTGAATTCTTATAGCAAGAGGATTCCACATATAAATTCTTTGGGGTTATGTTCATCAATCCATTTCATAAAGCTATCAGAAGAAATCCTGACAGCCAGTGTGTTACCAAATCAGTTCACAAGTGCAGGGAAATGCATGGGCTGACATCTGTAGGCTTTAGGGGTTGTGGCCCTGAGAAGGTCTACAAGTTCCACCACTGTGCAGCACAATATTCTCCAGCTCCACTACTATCACTGATATAAGTAATGTTTGTAAAAGTCATACCCAATAAACAGTTTAGGAAAGTCAAAAAAACCACAGGCATGGCTCAGCATGATGGTACATCCATATAATGCCAGTAGCCAGCACATAAGAGGCAGGGGGATTGCTGTGAGTTCAAGACCAGCCTGGGCTACATAATGAGTTCAAGGCCACCCTGGTCTTCATAGCAAAACCTTGTTTCCACAAAAAGACAAAAATCACAGGTATGAGCATGTATTATTCTGTATATGAGTTATAGTCTATAGAGCAGTAAGATGCTCAAGAATTACCTATCCAAAGCTTATCATGAAGGTGAATGCCTGTGTACCAAGAACTCAAGAGGTTGAGGCAAGAGAATCAAGAGTGCAAGACCAAGCCAGGTGTGGTGGCACATACCTGTAATCCCAGTACTCAGGACTCAGGCAGAGGCAGGTGGATCTCTGTGAGTTTGAGGCCAGCCAGGTCTACATAGTGAGAGCCTGTCTCAAAATAAGAAGAAAGAGGAGGAGGAGGACGAGGACGAGGAGGAGGACGAGGACGAGGAGGAGGAGGAGGAGGAGGAGGAGGAGAAGGGAGGGGGAGGAGGATGAGGAAGAGGAGGAGAAGGGGGAGGAGAAGGGGGAGGAGGAGGAGGAAGGAGGGAGGGAGGGAAGGAAGGAAGGAAGGAAGGAAGGAAGGAAGGAAGGAAGGAAGGAAGGAAGGAAGGAAGGAAAAGAGAAATGCAAAGCCTGGTCTGGTTTGTGCTGTGTTCAGTAATACTATCAACTAGAATGATAATGCAGTTGAGGGAGGCTCAAATACTAGAGAAAAGAAGAAACACTAATACAAGGAAAACTTGGAGGGCACAAAGCTGTTTAAAGTATTTGCATACTGTTCCTGGTCTGGGTCACAGCAGAGACGAAGGATGAGAACTCATGGGTAGAAGCTGGAGGGGCAAATGGGAAGGGCTTTCTAACAACTGGCACTGTCCATCAAAAGAAGGGGCTTGAGAGCCAGAGCTT